AGTAGCAAGCCTCCACCAATCCTTCGTTCCGGTCCTTAGAAGGTTCAGAGCCCACATGAAATTCTGGTGAGCTGGACAAGAACAAGCGAAGAAACACCCCTCCGCATTAGATAGCCACATCATGGAAATTATCAGGTCTTGTACCCCGTCGAAAGTCGGGGGCTTCGTATTGTCGAAGTCCCGATACTGAAAAACCCGACCCGATCCAACCCCTGCAGCCGCAACGGCTGCAGTGGCTGCAACAGAAGCAGTCTCAGACATAGAAACATAGCGCTCATCAAAGTACTCAACCATGGCGGTCTTAACAGACCCAAACATCTCTGTTAACTGAGCTCGCAAATGAGCAACAACCTCCTCATGCAGCATCTCCTTGATCTTCTCATCCAACGCACCTGACTCACCCTGACGGCCAGTTCCTGATCCCGAACCGGACCCAGCCTCAACTCAACGCATAGTCACCATACTGAAAATAAAATAGGAGGATATCAGATAACACGCATATCATAATAGGGGAACCAACTCCCAACAACGTCCTAGGGGTTGTGACTTCCTTGCTACGCGTATAGGTCCTATGCTTTTAGTAGTACGGGCCTATACTACCTTCCCTAGAGTAAAGGCTAAATATCTCGAAACTGGCCGGCTAACCCCACACATATCATCCATGAAACTTCCACCAACCCTGCACCATTCGTGTATGCTAGCCATACATAACGCTGGACCCTATAGACATTCAAATATCTAATCCTACCCTAAGCCCTTCATCAAACAAGAACATGAATTAAGGCCAAATCAAACATTCTCAACCCATAGGATCTTAATTATGTATGACCATGATGCATACACTAAGCAACTACAATAATGATGTCAATTCCATAAAAAGAAAGGTCCTAGGCTATCAGGCATCATATAATCAGACAACTATATCATGCAATTCTCGAAGATCCCTAGCTTATCACTAGCATGATGTTCTAACTTATCACGATATCAATAACAATATGGTATTTTGGGGTCTACTTACTAGCTCCGACTGATCGTACACCTTGCTTCCTCCTCTTCATTTTGAAAACTAATTGAAAATTGTTTTGAAAATCTTTTCCCTTAGTTTGAGACTAGATTCACACGAGTGTTCCTCCAATTCATTCAAACCAAGGCTCTGATACCAACTTGTAACATCCATAAAATTTCAAAAAAATTTAAACTTTTTCAAACCAACCAAAATCATAGTTGTTTACATTGTAGTTTTCAAAACATGTTTAATATCACAGTTTTCCCAAAGTCACAAGACACAACATGAGGAGGTGCACGATCAAGCCTTTGCCTTCCCACGATCATCTGAGGTACCTGAAACATAACCCAAAACTATAAGCCCAAATCATAGTGAGTTCGCCTAAAGTACCAACACAACAAATAACACATATACAATAACAACATACTATGGGTCCAATCAACCATCGGGTTGGAATACCCCAGGCCCCTCAACCATCGGGTTGGAATGCCAACATACTATGGGTCTAATCAACCATCGGGTTGGAATACCTCAGGCCCTTCAACCATCGGGTTGGAATGCCAACATACTATGGGTCCAATCATCCTCGGGATGGAATACCCTAGGCCCTCAACCATCTGGTTGGAATGCCCCAGCCTGTTGGCTTACACACAAAGCAGTGAAGCCTCAGCCACCGACCAAACATGTGCACATATAACAGATAATCATATAACAGTCTACAACCAATCAAACAGATCAACAGATCACTAAGCATAACAATATCCTATCTACCAAGATACCGATCTAACAAATCTTAACAACATAGCAACATCCTATCTACCAGGATACCGATCTAACAGATCATAACAGTATAACAACATCCTATCTACCAAGATACCGATCTAACAGATCATAACATTACAATAGCATGCATATCAGGATATCAATCCAATGGGCCAACATTGGTGCCTTTGACCCACAAGTACAGTGATGACAACTCACCTCACAAGCTGAACATAACTGATAAGGCCTGACTCCGAATCTCAGCTCTCAACTCAAATGCCTACAATCACCAAGTGACCAATTCCATCAAAATCCCAAAAATACCTAAAATACCCTCAAAAGTCAAACTTGGTCAAAGTCCAAAAACCCACTAATTCAACCTAGCAGAGTCAACCCAACCGAGTTAACTCAAAACTGGCTGTTCCATGCGAGTACGTGGGGCTTACTCCAGAGGTACGCTCAGCGTACGCAAGCCTCACATTGACTGTTTACGGGGGAGTTGACCGAGTACGTGGGGCGTACTCCCTTCTACGCGAGGCGTAACCTTGCAACTCCATTTTCTTTATTAAGTGCTTAATGGCTTCAATACTTAATCTCCCACTTCACATCCAAGGTCTAGAGGCATACTAGAGTCATAAAGTTTCCAACTTTATGACTCTACACGTCCATACAGTCTCTAACACAAGGTCTTAATCCATTAAGACCTTCTACAAGATGCATGGAGCTAAACTAGCTAAAGGGACCTCATTTTTATGGCTTAGAACCCTTCCCAGGGTCTGAAAGGACAGCCCAAAACGTTAAAACCCAATCATGCATAAAAATTGGACTTTTGAGACAAGAAGAACCACAAAAAGCTACCAAAATGAGATCTAAGAAAAGCATCAAGGTGAAGACTTTTTACCTTCTGGAGCGTCCCAAGAAGGCGATGATCCAAGATCCACAAGCTTGCTTCAACTTCTAAGCTCCTTGATGCAACTCATTCTTCCTTAAGCACACAAAGGACTCACTTTTAGCTCAAAATACACTCTTATGGGGTTAGGGCTTGCCAAAAACGACTCAAGGGCTTGGAGGTTGGAAAAGTGGGGGTAAATGAGCGAAGGTGCTTAAATACCCCACAAACCCTAAAAATTAGGGTTTCATTCGAACATGAGTACGCCCATCGTACATATGTGTACGCCCTAGTACGCTTAGCGTACTCACATGTACGCTTAGCGTACTCCTCCCACATCCAAATTACAAATTTGCCACTAAGGCTTCCCATGACCACTTCCTTCCAATTCCAAGGTCCAAAAGTGACACAATTAAAACCAAGGGATGAATTTGAGAATACTTGAAAGCCGAGGTGTTACATCCACACCGAAAAGCAATGTCAATAAATTCTTGATATTGAAGTTCGTTAGAAATCAAATGTTAAACCTTCTGGGATATTTAAACTTGGCATACAATAATAAATTTTCTCACACTTCTCTTATGTGAATTGTTCAAGAAAACCAACAAATTCCTTATGAGACATAGCAACAAAATCGATATTCTCGAACACTTGTTGTATACCATCAGAGTAGCAAAAAGCTTTGTTGATGAACACACATTGGAATTGAACTTTGATATAGAGGAATATTTCCATCGAAGAGGATTACTGTTGTAGCAAGGGTTTTCCTTGAATGGGGACTAAGGGAGTGAATAATGAAAGCGGGGACAATAGTTTCAAGCCATCATCTAATTTAAAACAATTCAAATTTGATGGAGTACATGTGGTAATTCATTTAATGACATGGGACCGTCATATGTTCAGTGGCACACAAAATACCCTTTCACTCGGTATCAGGTAAGATAATGACGTTTTAAAATGGTCTAATGGGACTTCCTTTCCTTTTGTACAAAAACAAAAAAGAAATTAAGGGACCTTTTAAAACAATTTGCATAAGTTCATTGGGTTAAAATGACATTACCCCAATGAAAAAACAATTTTTGTAAGGATACTTATAAAACCAATAATTTTTTTTAGGGTTTAATAAATAACCAACTAAACAAATTGCATGTTATTAGTTTTATAAATTGGGCAAATGCCATAAAACTCTTGATTTTGCAAGTTTTACCCAAAGTTGGATTTTAGATCCATTAATGCCTCAAATTTGCTTTAATTTGTTCACTTATACCTTTTCAACGGGCTCTCTTAAGTTAGCCGGTCACCAAGCTTAGCCGGAAGATACGTGGCTTATTAACTACGTTTGGGAGAAAACCCCAATTCCGTTAGAGACATCAAAGGCTATACCTGTTGGATTAGTGTCTAAGTCCATAACTATTTTTGTATGTACTTGACCCGATTATGAGCATGGTCCTTTTGGGTTGCCTTCACCATAGCAATATGTAGGATGAACTAAGGAGAGAAAGGTTTAATTATGATTTATTAATATGTTATGAGAATAATATATTAAAGGAGAAATCATATTGTTTAATTAATATTAGTCAAGAATTAATAAAGAATTAATTTTGTGGCTAAAAGAGATTAATTAAAATTAGGGGACTGGAATTGTAATTATAGGATAATTGCAATTGGGCTATGGATCACCTTGGAATAATAGGTTGGACGAATTCTATGGGGAAGCCCATTAGAAATCGTCCAAGGCATGTTCCAGAAGGGGTCCATGGGCTGCTTAGGGCTTAAGCAGTCAAATTAGGGTTTCCTTGTTAGATAACCCTAATTGCCTACCTATTTAAAGAACCCTTGAGACCCAAAAACGTGGCTAAGTGTTCCTTTAGGGTTGCCAGCCGTTTTTGGGTGCCTCCTCTCTCCTCCTTCTTCATCCAATTGCTTAGTGGTGTTTGTGACTCCATTAGAGGTGCAACACTTGAGGCACTAAGCTTTCTGAAGCCAAGGAATTGATTGTTATTGCTACATAACAATCAAGGTAAGATCTAAACCCTAGTTTATATGTTAATTTGATTAATTGTATGCTAGATCTAGGGTTTATAAGTCTTGGAAGTTTATTGCATGTTCAAAGTAGAAAAACTAGATCCAAGCAATTAGGGTTGCATGAACACGATAGGATTGATGTTATGCTCAAAACCCATCAATACCCTCCCTCCGTATTGTATCACCTTTTTGCACACAAGTAACATTGACTGAAATTATTTGTGTACATAGAGAAAAGCTTCACAAAAGAGGGTTTTCTTGGAGAATATTAGGGACAAATTAACGTTGCGTTCTTCAAAAGGTAAGGTTTTTATAGTCATGATCCTTTTGTGTTTACACCCACCATTTTTGCAATGGGTTCTGAAAGTGATTGTGTCTATGCAGGAGGGTGTAATGGCTTCATTAGATGAAGGGTACGATGACCCCTTTGTTGGCATAAGTGAGCCATTTTCTGGCTTGAATGAAATGGATTTTAAGCTCCATAACATTTACATGGACCACGAACCAGAGGAAGAATTTGTGACCATACTTGATAAATGTAAGGATATCTTCCTAAATGTTCTATTAAGTGATAAAAACCTACGAAATTCTAGTATGTCTGATGATATCAACGCACAAGTGTACCATGCTACTGATTAGCAGAGAGATGAAGAGGAAGAGGAGGTATCCGAAAAAAGCTTAAAATTCATGACCTAACCATCAGGTGGGACAAGATAGAACCAAAGCTTGGTGATATCTTTGAATTCCCTTCACAACTGAAGTTTTGTGTGACCAGTTATGCAGTGTCACATGGTTATAAAATATACTTTCAAAAGTGTGATAGTAAAAGAATTATTGCTAGATGTAGCAATAGGAAGGAGGAGAGTAAATGACCTTTCAGACTATATGTTGCATAAATTTACAAGGAACGATCTTTTCAAATCAAAGTTATGAATGGTAACCATAAATGTTCTAGGCAGTTTAAGTTTAGATCCATTATTCCCCTTATTGGATTGGAAGACATTATGTCGCTTAAATTGAAAATAACCAAAGATGAAACTTAGGGAAATGATAGCCGGCATCAAACAAAGGTATAGGTGTGTGATATCTATAAAAAAGTTAGAAGGGCAAAAAATAGTCCAAAGATTTGATAGAAGGTAAACTCACCGAGCATTATGCAAGGATATGGGATTATACCCATGCATTGTTAAGATCAAACTCATGGTCCACATGTCAAGTTGGTGTAACAACTAATCCAGATGGAAATAATTATTTTCATAGGTTTTACTTATGTTTCAAAGGATTAAATGTTAGCTGGAAAAAGGGTGTATGAGAGTAATTAGGTTGGATGGGGGCTTCTTAAAGGGGGGGGTGAAGGATGAGTTACTAATAGCCATTGGTAAAGATGGCAACAACCAAGTCTATCTAATAGCTTGGGTTGTTGTTGATGTGGAAAAAGTCTAACTAGACTTGATTTCTTGAGCTCCTCACTGCTGATCTAAACCTTGTTGATGGTAATGGCTTGGTAGTTATATCATATCAACATAAAGTAAGTTCCCTTATAAACTATGAATCATTTTCAAATTACTTATAAATACTTACATGTATGATGGTTTCTTTATAGAGTTTGCTTGAATCTGTCATGTAACACTCCACAAATCATGACAAAATTTTCATTTTTAAAACCATATCAAAATCCATAAATATACAAAACACAGTTTCCAAAAGCCATATTTATAAATCATAGTATCCCAAAATCCTATGTAAAAAAAATATCGAGGATGATGTCCACAATCACGCCTTCACCTTGCCTCTATCCTTAGATGTACTTGAAACCATAAAATCAAACTGTAAAACAAAGCTTAGTGAGTTCCCCCAAAGTACCCCACACAACAGAACATTTACACACATTGCATGTTGGGTCCACAGTCTCCCGACTGGATTGCCCTAGGTTTTTTGGCCTACATCACAAAGCAGTACCGCCTTAACCCACCCACACTATGTCGACATATGCGACAAATACACATAACCAACAAATACAAGTAATCATACAGATCTACCAATCTATCATATAACCAGCGAATACAGGTAATCATACAAGTCTACCAATCTAACATATAACCATTATAGTATCATCTTATATACCAGGATTCATAATCTAGTGGGCCGACATTGGTGCCTTCGACCCACGAGTACAATGAGGAAAAAATCACCTTAATCAGCTGTCAAAGAAAACATGAACTAGAGCTCCTGACCAACGAACTCCTCACACTATCAATTGACCAAAAGCCTTAAGTCAAAACCAAGGTAAAGATCTCAAACCGACAAGTCCTTAGACTAAGACTAACTTTTCTAAGGGAAAAAGACCATTTTGCCCTTCCCGAGACCTACCCTAACAGTTGACCAAAAGTTAACATGTCAAAAAGTTAAGGGCCAGACTTCTGTTGACCTACATGCTGCGTACTCCAGTTCTACGCATGATGTAGATCCTTATCCAGAAAACGGGGCTCCACCAGGATCCGTGGGGCATAGCCTAGGTTATGCACTACATAATCTCCTCAGCTCCAAAACTCACATTAAGCAGTTATTTCCATAAGACCTTTCACTCAATACTCAGATCTAACCCTCTTGACCATTCTAAATCATAAAGTCTCCAACTTTATGCATTTGCATGGGTAAAGAGAGTCCAAATCTAAAACCCTAGCTTATTACACAATCCCAAGCTCCATATCTCATGAATGTATGGAAAGAAGGGACCAAAATTGCATTTTTATGACTCCATGCACACAAAAATGTCTGAAAAGGCTACTTATAAGGCCTAGAGTAGCTCATACCCAATTAGACCAAGAATATTGGACACAAAGAGACATAAACCTAAAGACTAACATGATCTATTAAGATATTCATCAAGTTTTGAACTTTATACCTCCTAGATAATGCTTATGAGTTGAAAGTCCCATATCCACAAGGGTTGAAGCTTCCCAAGTGCTTTCCAATGGAACCTTCCTTCAAAGATGAACACAAAACACTCAAAAGAGCTGAAAACTCACAAGTGGAGATTAGGGTTTTCAGGTGGCTGCTTAAAGGGAGTAGAGGGTGATAATAGAAGGACTCAAGGGGGTTAGAGTCTTTAAATAGGGATCAAAACCTTGAAATTAGGATTTATGTTCTGGGCCACTACGCGCTGCGTAAATTGGGCTACACAGGGCGTACTTTATTAATGCACCAAATCCAATGTTCCTCGTACCCGTTGTGTAGGAGGCTAAATTACACCCTGTGTAATGGCCAAAACCCCAATAATTACATTTTATTTTAGGAAAAAAGTTTACCTGAAGGACTGGGTGTTATAATTCTCCCCCACTTGAATCAAACTTTGTCCTCGAAGTTGTTAGCTGTAAATAACTTTGGGTAGTGCTCCCACATCTCCATCTCGTACTCCTAAGCCCTCAACATACCCTCAAGTGTCTGAATGGTACACTCACTCAGACCATCAGTCTGATGGTGATAAGTTATGATGAAATGCAGTCTAGTACCCAACTCCTTATGAAACTTCTGCAAAAACTGGGAAGTAAACCGTACATCATGATCAGATACAATAGAGACTGGTACACTATGGCAATCGATAATCTCGCACACATACACGTCAACAAACTTCTTGGCCGAAGAACTCTCTCGAATGGCAAGAAAGTGGTCACTCTTGTTTTACCGGTTAACGATAACCCAAATCACATCAAATCCCTTGGCCATCCACGACAATTTGGTGATCAAATCCATAGTGATTTTTTCTTATTTCCACATAGAAACCTCTCATGGCTGCAACTTGCCATGCGACCTCTAATGCTCAGCCTTCACTATCCCACATGCCAAGCATCTCTCCACGTACCATGCAATCTCCTGCTTCATGCATGGCCACCAATAACTAAGTCTTAGGTCCCGATACATCTTTTTGGCTCTAGGGTGAATCGAGAGCCTGTATTTATGAGCCTCCTCCAATACTATCTGCCGAAACTCGCCAGAAAATGGCACCCATACCCGATCGCATCGGGTCAAAAGTCCACGACTATCGGTAGAAAATCTATCAATCTCACCTGCGATCCTCTCTTTCTTCTAATTTTCCTTCTTGACTCCTTCGGCCTGAGCCTCCCTAATAAAATCTAGAAGTGGGGAGTCGATGGTCATCCTCAAACAGTGCTCCCAGGCAGGAGTACTAGCCGTCTTGCGGATCATAGTGTCGATGACCAGATTGGCCTTCCCCAGATGATAGAGAATCTCACACTCATAATCCTTGACCACGTCAATCCACCTACGCTGTCTGATTTTCAGATTCAGCTGATCTATAAGATCTCTAAAACTCTTGTGATCCGTGTAGATGGTACATCGGACCCGACAGAGATAATATTGTCAAATATTGAGGGCTAAAACCACAGCCTCCAACTCGAAGTCATGCGTCAGATACCTAGCCTCGTGAGTATTCAACTATCTAGATGCATAGGCAATGACCCTACTCGGCTGCATGAGTACTGCCCCAGACCCGTAATCGACGCATCACAAAACACTACAAAATTCTCAACACCCTTTGGGAGGGTCAATACCGGGGCCTCACATAACTTCCTCCTCAGAGTCTCAAATGTAGCCTGCTGCTCAGGCCCCCAATGGAAATCCACACTCTTCTTCGTCAGGCGGGTCAAAGGAACAACAATCTTGGAGAAATCCTGAATAAATCTCCCATAGTAACCATCCAACCACAAAAAACTCCGAATCTCGGATCGGGATTTCGAAACCTCCCACTGCATCACAACCTCAATCTTGGCCGGATCGGCCAGAATCCCGTTCTGGTTGACGAGGTGTCCTAGAAACTAGACCTCTCTTAACCAAAACTCACACTTGGAGAAATTGGCATAAATCCTCTGTCTCAGCACTGCAAGTAGCTCTCTGAGGTTCTCCTCATGTTGCTCCCTGATCTTGGAGTAGACCAAGATATCATCAATGAAAACAACAACTGACCAATCGAGCATCGACCTGCATACCCAGTTCATCAAATCCATGAATATTGCAGGTGTTTTGGTGACCCAAATGGCATCACCACAAACTCATAATGACTATAGCAGGTTCAGAACGTTGTTTTCTCCACGTCCTCCTCACTGAATCTCATCTGGTGGTATCCCGACCTCAGATCAATCTTGGAGAACCAATATCCACCTTTTAACTAATCGAAGAGATCATAAATACTAAGGAGTGGTAACGATTCTTCACTGTCAATTTGTTCAACTACTGATAATCTATATACATATGATGCGACCCATCCTTCTTCTTCACAAACAAAATCGATGCTCCCCATGGTGAGCTGCTTGGTCGGATAAACTTCTTGCCCAACAACTCCTGAAGCTGAGAGGACAACTCATGCATCTCTGGTGATGCAAGGCGATACAACGCCTTTGTAATTGGTGCCATACCGGGGATTAGATTGATCCTGAACTCTACCTACCTCACAGGAGGCATACCGGGTAGATCCTCCAGAAATACATCTGGAAACTCCCTAAATACTAGCTCATCTGAAACCAAAACTCTCCCCTCATCTCGAGTGTCAGCCATGTATGCGAGATAACCCAAACGCCCATGCTAAAGATATTGTTGTGACAATCGGCAAATTAGAGCCAAGT